TGGCGGGCCTCTTTGAGCTCATTTTTAAGTTGGTTGGTCATCCTGAACTTGACTACAAAATTTAAGATGATTAAAATTTTTTATCCTTAAACTGACCCGAACCCAAAGTTTTTGAGTTGAGTTCAGGCCGAGTTAGTGTATGAGGTAAATTTTTGACACAAGGACTTGTTAAAGGGATTTTTTGCCTCATTAATTCGGTCTTTTATTTTTAGTATTGGTTTTCTAATGAAGATGTTTGCTAGGCGTGTTTGTAGGTCTTCGAGTGCTGTCAAATCACAAAAAAAATATCAGTTATGTTATCTTTTTTACATTTTTGCACCTAATTATTTACATATCTTTGAATAATTTTATGTTATGGTGCTTACTTTTTTTAAAACCTTTATTCTAGCAAAATCATATAGTTGAGCAATCTTGTGTTATGTATTGCATCCAAAAAAATAATTTTTTAGATCAATTTATTTATCCTTAATTTATAATGTAGAGTGAAAGGTAAAATTTAAAAATATTTTTAATGAGTAAATAAAACACACAGTTCACCTTGCACCCTCTTTTGATGTGCCTTCACCATACACTAGGAACAATTGGCATATCATGCATTGCTAGCTTAAAAATTTTGACTAAAGTCACAACTATCACCTCAATTATAGGCTACAAAGGTACTGATAATTTTTAAGGGTCACGAGTAAGTCATTGTAGTAAATATAAAGAGTAGAGGGGCTATATGTTTTAGAAATGTTTAAGCTATTGATTTATTACTGTCAATATGACAAAACTAATCCAATAGAGATGTGTTTAAAATTGGTTATTGACTTGTCGCTAGCATTTTCTCAATTTTCATGGCTTCAGAGGAGATGTAACCCTTAATAATAACCTCCATGTCATCAAATCCCGTGCTAAACTTAATTATGTAGCTTGGAACAAAATGAGACCAATTAAAAGACAAAGTAAAATGATCAACAAACTCAAAGGTTAAAAGTGTCTCTATTTCTATTTTTTGACATTTCAAACTTCTTTAAGATAAAAATTTTGTAATCTTTTTCCTTACTATTTTTTTTTTTACTTTTTTGAAAACATTAATCATGACATCAATTAATGGCTGCAAACTCATGTTGAACTGACATGATTGATTGAATTGTGTTAAAATTCTCTAAGACAAAAAACAACTGGGTAACTTCAGCTAGAATAACCATCCATTTCCTCCAAGCCAACCAATTAACTTCTAGTTTGACTTTCCATTTTATTAGAAATAATAACTAATAGGTCATTTTGTAATTTTTGCTCATGTATTTTATTTGGTATTTTCTTATAGCTCTTATACCTCAATCCTATCCTATAAATAAAGGTTTATTGTAAGAGCACGAGATTACACAATTTCTTTTATTTGAGCTTTATATTGTTGAATTTTTTAGAGCTTCTCTCTAGTGTTCTTTCGATTTATCTTTTATGGCTCATTTCTTTCATCTTCTGAAGATTAGAGATAATACAATTACTTTGTGTCCCTTTCCATTTCATTTATGAATTGGCTATAAAAGTTTCTCCCACTAAAGAAGTGGTTCAAGAAATTTATCCTTTATTGGTTAAGAAAATAGACAATTTCTACAAATAAGCAATATTATTAGTAGCACGTAGGAACGAAAGAGCTTCAAGTTTTGACTTCATACTTTTCTAGCCCTTGCTCGGCTTTCTCTCTCCCGCATCCGTCCATGATCCGATTTAGATTGGCATAAGAAAAAATCTTCTGTTGTAATGGATGCAAATTTTTTCCTTGCCACATCCAAAGTCATCAAATTTTAATGAGATAATTTTTTTTTTATAAAAATGTCAAGTTACCTTACCTCCAAAAATATACAATTGAAATAAAAGCCATGATTTACTAATAATGAGGCTATATATATATATATATATATATATATATATCCCAAAAAAATGAAAGATAGTGTAAGAAAAGTAAGCTTTTCTTATGAACAAGTTACACTTTTAAGGTGAAGTAGAAAGAACACAAATTGCATGTGCGAATTCATAAATAAAAGCTTACTTTGTTCATATTATCTTTAAATCATTTCTTTATGATTCCTATATATTTTGAACTTCATTAATGAGGTGGGGGGACTTTATACATGTCAATGGTTCCCTCATTACCATAAAGACCAGTTTCATGTGTCTGTATATCTATAGAGTATATATATTTTTATATATATTGAGATAAGATAATTTTACATTTTCTTATAAGAGAATTCATCTCATTAAAAGTTTATTATTTTTTTATGTTTATTTTAAATATTACTTTATATTTAGTTAAATCTCTATTTTTTCCATAATTTTTTTTTATTATTATGATTCTCTAATTTAAATTTCTTAGAAAAATAAAATTTTATCTAATTAAACTTAATTTTAGATATATTTTATACTTTTATCAAAAATATTTAACAAAAAAATACTTTTCAGATAAAAAAAAGATTGAATTTTTTTAATTTTTACTATGAATATTTTATTATTATACATTAAATTTTCAAATATAATTTATAATCTATATTCAATTATTCAAATTGTCACTACATAAAAATTTCTTTGAATTTACCGATCGAGATGTGATTATTTTATTGTGCAAATAATATAAAAAAGTGGCTTTATATTATTCACGGATTGTTGTAGATTATAAATTTTTTATCATTATTTATTTATATTATCATATTAATAAATTCTGAACAAAAAAATATAAAATCATTGCATTTAATACAAGATTATTTGTTTAAATTAAATCGCATTTAATTTTTTTTTTGTCTGCAATTTGTGGTGTCAATGATTTTTGGATTAATTCAACAATGATAAAATCAATCAAATTCATATTTATCTTCAACACATGAATGAGTTTCTAACAATAAACTGAAATTGATTCTTCAATTGAATGTAAAAACAAACCTCAAATTTTTTTGCCTTTTTTTCTAATTTAAATTGCTCTACAACACGGATAATATTCTTTTCATCCAAAATAAAAAATAGTTATATATAATATTAAACAAATTGTATGTATATTTATGTGTGCTGGAAAATTCACGGCGGTTGAGTAACAGATTATCGTCTTAGTGTTGTATGAGAATTCGGCACACACACAGATGAAAGAGAAATAAGCAGTGATGACTCCAGAAATTTTTACGTGGAAAACCAGGAAAGGGAAAAAACCACGGGATCTGGCCTAATTGCGAAAATCTACTTGATTGATGATTACAGAGACTCATTGTCCCACAGACAGGAATGAGTTACAAGCTTTCCAAGTAGTAACGTCAATTGACGGAGTCTAGTCAGCAGTGATTGACGGAGGTCGGCGGTGATAGAAGGTAATCAACGAAAATCGATGACAGTTGGTGGTGGTTAACAGAGGTCAGCGGTGATTGAAGACAAAAGATGGTAGTCAACAGATGTCAGCAGCGATCGACGCTGACAGACAGTGGTTGTCGACAGTCGGTGGTGGTCGGTGGTGTCGACGAACGTCAGCTGTGATCAACAGTGGTCACTGACGGTTGGTGGTGGTTGACGGCGATCAACGATGACAGAGATGACGTTGGACTTGAGCTCCTTCTCAAAGCCTCAATTCACTTTCAAGCCCCAACGCCACACATACACACATGTGAGGGGCGAGGCTCTATTATAGTGATTCAGGTACAATTAATGTAGGAATATGAACCATTTTGATTAGATGGTCTGGAGAGCTTCCTTCTATCAGATGATATTCGATGGACATTTGAGTACTTTAATGATGTCAGAATTGAGCAATCTTGGGCTCGTTGGATTCGTCTTTTTGAGACAATCGATTCGACTATGAACTCGCTAGATTCGACATCCGTTTGACCTTTCAAATGCCTCAAGAAATCCTTCAAGGGTAGTTTAATAGTTTGATCTGGGCTTGATTTGATTCAGAGATTGGACTAGCTTTTATATCATTGGGTCTTTCTCATCGAGCCGGCCAGTTTGACTATAAGGCCAGTTTGACTATAAGTTTACAAGTTTACTGAAATCGGAGCTATGAATGACTTTTTATCAAGATTTAAATATTTTTTATTCAAAATATTATCTCGAGATTCGTGCGGGATGATAAAAATTTATTGGTGCCGAATCATATATATATATATATATATATATCTTAGAATTATATTATTTTAATATTATCTTTTTATTTGTGCTACTATTTTATGTTTAACGAGAATATAAAAACAAAATAAAGTTTAATTTCTCATCAAGAGATCGCGAATTCGAATATCTCTTTTAAGAAAATAAAATAATAGGAAAAAACAACTCTGATTTTTACTGACAAATATCTCGGATAAACATCGGGTATTTAAGTGCGCCGCCATCCTAAACAAAAATATCGGCAAATGACGTGGCAATCAGACCAAATACTTTCTGGATAAAGATGCCATGTCATCCTTAGAAAGGAGAGAAAATTTGTGTATGTAAAAGCTTGCTTACCTGAAGTGCTTACAGTTAAGAGTATTGGGGTTTTATTCATGTTATACTCCTGTAATATTTCAGTAATTTAATTTTAACTTAATTGTACTTTCTAGTAAGTTCCGCGTATCTGTAGGTTACAAGTAGATTACAGGATAATTACATGGAGATTACAGAAGTATAAAATGGATATAACTCTTTAATACCCTCTCTATAAACTTACGCAATACTGTACGTATATAACAATTTTTTCTTTTTCTTGGTGTGCTCCTTCAGCCTATATCAGGGGCAATAATTCAGTTTCTTAAGCGGTCGAGTCTGAATTACTTGAACCATTTCGCCACCTGGAGATGCTTTTACATGCAACTATGCCAACAGCGTTGACTCTAAATTCTTCAAAGATGATGCCACGATACTAGACTGCCTTAGTCACCCATAACCTACAGTGCTCGATTGACACGACTCTGGGCCCACGTCTTTCCTTCGTGGCTATTCCGTAATTATCTCAAAAAGTCCGAGCATTTTATACCCTTGGTCTCCTTTGCCCTGCCTTCACTTCGGATGACCTCAGTTCTATTCTAGTCCGGCGGTAATTACTTCATCGCTCTACGCGCGCTCGAGATGCACGGCATTTCATTTTTACTCGACGTCTCTCCTTCGATTCCTCAAATACTTGGCTTCCGAGCTCCGCTGTGATGCGGAGCGGGACGGAAATTGAAGGTGGCGATGGTAAGGAGAGAGTACAGGCCGATGGGGTCGAGCCGGCGGCGAGCATCATTATCGAGGTGGTGTCCGATGAGACTTCTTGCTCTGCCGTTGATCCATTGGAGCATACTGGAACAGAGAAGGTGAAGGGAGAAACCAAGGGGGTTGATCTGGAGAAGGGTGGGGGGTGTTTGGAAACAGAGAGGGAGAAAAATTGCCGGATCTGTCATTTGAGCTCCGAGCTGGTTGGATCGGTGGAGGAGGGTTGGGAGCTAATCGAGCTCGGGTGCGGATGCAAGGGAGAACTCGGAATCGCCCACCGACGCTGTGCCGATGCTTGGTTTAGGGTGAAGGGAAACAGGTAACATATAAATTAATTGTTTCTTTAAATGTTTTTGCTATGCGGGTTTGGCATGCACGTTGGACTGCTTATGTTGTGGATCTTTACTTCTGCTGCACCACGGTTGTCATATTTTGACTACTTGAATGAAGAACGCAAGCTTTACATTTTCTTTGAAAATTGTTCGGTCCTTTGGCTTCTTTAAATTCCATACCCATTTGAACGATGTACTAGTTAGATTTATGTTGTGGATAAAATTTCTGCAAAAAGCTGGTTTAATTTTGTCTTGTTTTTTGTTATTTAAACTAATGGAAAATGTTGAATCAAGCATGATTCATAGAACAGCTACTTTCACTATCATGATCATACGATTCTATTTTAATTCGGTTTTGGAACAGGTTAACTATGCAATATAGTTTGTCCTTAATTCAGTTGTGTTATCATAAAGGCAGTTAATTTCCTCCCTTAATAATAGTCAGATTTCTGCTTGATGTCATTATATAATTAAATGCAACACAAAGTTTGATCACCCTTTTTATTTGGATTGGGTGATTGCCATTTTAGTTTGTCATTAATTATATGATTTTCTGCATCTTATTTTAGTGTTTTAGAAGAACTTTTGATATTGCGGAGTTATAAAAAATAAAGTGGACATACACAGTTTAGATGTTTAATTTTTGTCAGTTTATTGTTTCGATGAACAAAACTTCTTGCACTATTTAGACAGCAAATTTGTGCTCCTTGCCAAATGCTTAATTTCAGCTGCAATTAAATTTTTTTATACCTATTTATCCAATAATTATCATGATATAAAAAATTTATTAGGTATGCATTGTGTTTGAGTTGCTGTCCTTTTGTTTTGATTGTTCTACTGAATATAAGTTTTGCTGTTGGTATGACCGTGGATTAGATCTTTTGAAGTTATCAAAATAATTTTTTTCTGTTTCATTTTTTGTTTTTTGGGAAAAGTGGTGAGGGCGGGGTTGGACTTAGTTACAATTACTGTATAAATAAAATGTTCTACTTTTATTTATTTGGAATATTATAAATTAGAATTTTATTTGAGCTCTCCTAATACGAAGAATCATCTAAAAAATTTCATGACTTTCACTTAAGTCTTTGATATGAATATTAAATTTTTGAAGTTGTAGAATTTTCCTGCAAATTTTGTACTAAAAATCTATCTTAACCAACCATGATGGTTGCTTAATTTTCATCTATATATCTTTCAAATCTTAAAAAAAAAATAATGTGAAGTGATTGAAGCTTATACTGCATGATAACTAGTTATTATCATCTACTATTGTTCTACTATTCATTGAGGAGTCTACCAACTTTGTATAAAATCTATCAACTTGCGACCAAGTCATATACACACAAAAGAAATCTCTATTTTGCTTCAACAAGCTCTTGGATTTTCTTCATTAATACTTTTATTAGTCGATGGTGAGGTCCGTATTAGCTATCAAATCAGGTTAGAAAGTACTGCCACAATATTTGCTAACAAGTGGCTACTTCTGTCAATATGCTTGCTGCAAGAGTTTGACAATGGAGAATGCGGTGTTTTTTGTGTAGGGGGAATTGTTAGGATTATTGAAATGGTGTAGGCTGTCATTGGGAAGTAATGTAATCCCAAGAAAAGCCCTGGACGTGGGGCTGCTCGTAAGCATGATAAATGCTATCTCAAGCAGTGATCGGAGCATCCGGCGGTGTACAAAATAAGAATTTTTTTCCTTTTGGGTTGTACTATTATTAGTTAGTTATTTCTATCACAAATAATAGTGGTTCTATCAACTATGAATAAGTTATAATTATGAAAATTAACAAAGTTGTGATTTGGCTTATCAATTTATATGAGTTGGACAATTTTTAGAATGACAACATTCAATTTAGTGTTATCAGGGAGTTATACACCTTGCGAAGAAAGCTTCACTTCACTGATGGAGTATTGGAGGAAGATGCTTTGTTACTAAATAAAATGAAAATTTTGAAAATCTAAAGGACATGCTTATTATGTCAAAAATTGCTGAAAATTAAGACTTGCAAAATCCTCTTTAACCATTATAGTTGATTAAGATGGGGTGCCGAAATAGTTGATCTAATCTCTACTCAGAGGATTGTTTTTAATATGATTATTCTTTCAAATTTCTCAATTTCCTTGCTATTGAAGTTAAAATTTTGGGTTTATACAATCGTAGTGGTTAAATTTCTTCCATGAATCTCTCGAATGTTCAACAAATATGAATTAAATTCACGAAAACTTATCCAATATATTTGTTGTTTTTCTCTACTTTTATCAAGTTATTCCATAGGACTCAATTGGCTTTTCTTCCTATAAAATCCATCACAAATTACGATCAAGGCATCTTCACAAAAAAGCTTTCTTAAGCTATACAACGAAATCTCGGTTGCTTCTTTGTTTGCACTAGTGAGTCACTGATGAGGTTCAAATTCATGATCAATGTATGGTTAATTAAAGTTCCAATGAGAGTTGCCAAAAGGGGTTTGTTGTTTGGAGTATAAACGAACCATAATGAACAACTAAAGTCTATTATAGGTTAATTCATTGATTTTTTTTTCATGTCCTGGTCTTGTTTATACTAGTTAGTTTTATTTTTCTCTTTTCAAATTTCTCTTTTTTTTGTTTGATTTTTTGACACCAACTTGCGAACTTATAATAGATTGTACAAACCTCTCAACCACCACATACTAATTCAATTTTTAATTTGGTTTCTTAGAAATATATATAGCTTTTGTATAAAATGCTTGAACATTGTAGTGTTCTTTATTGAGCCAAACAAAATTGTAAATTTCTTATTGTATTTATTAATGAAGTATGCCTAATGATGTTTATGTATAATTTTTTTGTTCACCTTGTTTGTTAATGAATGAGTCTAACATGAAGTCATTATGAGCTAGTCACAAATATCTAGTTTGCTACACCTTTTTTTGGGACAATGGCAGTCTTGCTTCAATGGTTTGGCTTTGATTTTGAGGCTTATGAGGTTTGGCATGGGTGGTATCTATTTGGTTAGGATCCAGGTTAGTGATGTGGTGTAACCAGTGGGCGGTAAGTTGTTGGAGTCGGTAGCCTAATGCAGGCTAATGGTGAGATAGTCCAAGCAAAGCTCAGGTTAATTTTATCTCCAAACTCCTTAAACAAAGGCAAAATAGCATTTCCAAGTTACATGGTCCAACTTACAATCAAGTTACATGGAAAACGGCCCTTCAGAAACAAATTTTGATTTATTGACGTTAGGCTTGATCACTTTTCTATAGCACAAATCCTTGGATTCGTTGGAACTGTCACTTGAAAATATTTCTCCAAGAACATCTTAAGCTAGTAGAAATTAATTAAAATACTGATTAAGATTCTCTGTTAAAACCCTTTTGTTTTTGGCTTGGACATTCTCATTTATCTCATTTTTCTTCATATCCTTCTGTTGCTTATAAAAAAGAAAACTTAAAAAATTTTATGCTAGGTCTTTCTTTCACGCGATAGTTTGATTTCACTTATGAGAATACGTTTTACATGAAGCTTTTGTTTTCCAGTTTAATACCAGAACTGATAACTAAAATTAAACATGATATTTTGAGTATAATCGACATTTTAATTTTGTTGGTTGATTATGAAACTACATACAGAAGGGTATATCTAGTTCTTATCAGATTACAATAGTTCGCGTCCAATTCTTAAGTTAACTCTGCACTGATGCATGGGATATTATGCGTTATACAACCATTTCTCACAAGACAAGTGTTATGGTTGTAAACTTCCTTGCTTTGAGAAAGTAACATACTGTTTAACATTTGTTTTGTCTAGAACGTAGCCATTTGTTGCATGTAAGTCGAAACCAAAGCAACTTTGTTTCTTTTTTACTGATATGTATTCTTGTGAGTTTAAACTCTGTTAAATCTTGCGGTATGCCTTACACATGGTTTTTATATTCTTGCTTTGTTTATCAGATATTCGTATGTACATATACTTAGAAAATTTTATTTTCTCTTCACTGTATCATACCTGATCTCATGATGTGACACATTCCAACTATCTCCTGGCATTTTAGTTAGCTCTCATGCATGCATCATTGATTTGAAAATTTAGAGCCTCGCATGAAGGACCGGGTATAATGCTTGAAGAATATGTTATGTTTTTGCAAGGCCGTGCTTTTTCCCTTCTCAAATGATAAGTTTGTTTGCTTTGCCTTAGCATAATATAAAAGATGTTGAGTAGCTGATGGAAAGATCAGAATGATTTGTATGGCAGATGTTATACTTGGCTAGTATATAATATGAGAGATACACTTGCACTTTAGTTTTATATATTCTTAAAGTTTTTTAGTTTATTATAGGCTAGTCTTGCAGCACATAACATGAGTGCAAATAAAATGAGTGTTCATAAAGCGAAGACCGAATAGTTGGGGAAATTGTGTTTCCCTAGGTAAATAAAGTTACCTCTGTTACTAAGAAAAGAAGCTTGTAAAAGTTAAATTGAAGTTGTTATATACATGCATGATCAGACAACGTTTAGCATTAAAAAAAAATTTTGAGTGAAAATACAGTATGAATTTTTATACGGTTCTATCAAAGCCTCATTTCCTTTCAAATAACCCAATTTTATGTTATTTATTTGCTTAGAAAACTTAGAGCTAAATGTTCTGCGTTGCATTTGTACCTCCTCCATAGCATCACAGCATAGAAAAAACACTGAAGAGCTGCATGTCCATATCTGTTATAGTAGCAATGACAATATTTTCTTTCCACAATAAAAACTGAAATTATCAAAAGAACTCCAAGCCTATCTTTTTCTACCAATTCAAGAGGTGACAAGATATATTCAAATTGAGATATGTTATATATTTAATTTGTAAGTTGCATGTCATTGATAGATATACTAATATAAGTGGCTTGGGTTTAATAGATTAAAAGATATTCTGAGTGATTGACAATTATAGTGGATGTGGGTTTATGAACCTTCAACTAGTAATAAATAGTACACATTATTTTTTAGATACCTATACTTTTTCATATAGAAGAATAGAAATGCAAAGGACTATAATGAAGTGCCGAATGGAAGTTGGATGGTTAAATTGTATAATTATTTAATTGATATTATGTTTGAAAAGAATATCATGGTGATTTAAAAGGAATTTAACAATAATGATAATATGGCTAATCATATTATATTTTTCTTTAGCGTTGAATAAATAAGTTAGTAATAATTCAACTAAATGTTTTAGAAATGACAATGATTATACAAATATGCCATAAATTTAGATATAAGATTGGATCCGAAATGGTTTATTAAAAAGGCTATGGAAATAGGATTAATTGAGGATAAACTGATAAGGTTATTAAAACTAGACGTAGTCTTTTGGGCTTGTATAATGCATATCAAAACATGCTACTATAGTGCAAATAAATAAAATCAATGTAAAATGAACTAGAAAGTTCAAAGTGAAAACCAGTATGGTAATTGGTTAGAAATTGTCATAAAAAATGTAGCACTAAATTGGGAGAAAGATATATAAAGCAGAATAAAGTATTTACTTCCTATAATTTGACTTTCCAACGCTCAAATTTTGTTAGGTTGAAATACCACATAACTGCCCCTCTCTCTCCTACCCTTCCCCCCCCCCCTCCCGG